CCCCCCCCCCGGTCTCCCCATTTGAATTATGAAGCTTTTCTTTCTTCCAGCAAACAAAAGAGCGAGCTGAAATGTGGCTGCTGTATCACAGATCCGCACCCTTTACGCCTGCTATCTTGCATCTGATGAGTTCGAAATAAGGGAACCGGATCTCTACAAGGACGGAAAAAAGGAGGCCCGTCTGAAGGGGCCTTTAGAAGAACATGCTTTCTGTCAAGTCTGTGAGTTTCTGAATTTTCCTCAAGGTTCTTTCTCCCACGTGGTGGTATCAGAAATGTGCTGGCCTTGTCATATCAAAGATCTAGTCGGAGGCTTCAGTCAGCACTTGACCCACGGAAACCAAATGGCATCTCTCCATCCCTTCCCTACCTACTCATTTATTCAAGTAAATGGTGGGTGGCTCTTCAGGACCACAGTCTGTTCTCTCCATCTTCCCTGGTGAGAGAGCCTTTGTGTCTTACGGCGAGGCAATGTGCCAGCTAAAGACCTTACTTCCCAGCCGTCAAGTTAGCTAAGACTCCTGTTACTAACTTGTAGCTAATGAGATATAAATGGACACTCTTGGAGCCTTCCAAGAGGGCTTCTTTGTCTTTCCATTTGTGTTATCAACACAATGGCTGGTGCTTCAACAGCCATTTTGGATCATGAGGCAACTCTCCTAAGGATACAAGAAAAGTAAGTTATGTCCCTGCCCTGGATTGCCTACCTCCTAACTTTTTAAATGACAGAAAAAAAAAAAATAATAAAGGCTCATGTTTAAGCCAGTTTTGTGCTACATTTGGTTAAATCTAAACCCAAGTGATCACATGTTCCCTTCTATACAGCTGGGCTATTCTGTAAACATGATAGAAGGGACTACAGCAACTAGCATAGACTGGCCAAATCTCCCTCAACAGCTTTCTGGCTGCTCACAGCCCATTTTACTACTAATAAGCCCAAGGAACCAAACTTTTGGGGATTCCTAAAGAATCCCAAAGTTCATAGCTTCTTTGTAAGGCATTTCATAAAACATTTTCTAAAACCACATTCACAGGCAGGTGCACACGCAAGGCGGGGAGCATTCTATCGTACCCTTGCTAGTAGGATATACTCCATTCAACACTGCTGAGATGCGTCTTGGAACCTGATTTCTGGAGACAGGGGGCCCACACCAAATAAGGGGTTCCAAGTCAGTCAGGAAAACAGACACGTTCAGTACAAACTCCAATCCAAGACAGATCATGACCTTAACAGAGTTGGAAAGCGCTATGGGAACACAGGGAAGACAGAATGATTTATCAAAGGTTTCCTAAGGAAGATTCATCCAGGAGAGGGTGAGACACCAGGCTAGGTCATGGAAATACAGGAGGCACCCATGAGTTTACACACATATCTACCTGGGGAGGGCTTACCTCCGAGACAGCTCGTCACAAGGGGGACACGTGACCACCAAAATCAGAAACTGACTTAGCAATCCCACCAAGAGCTGACTATCTGGTTCTCACCAATGTATGAAAGAGGACACCCAGAAATCTTTAGCACGACCAACACCAACAAGTTTTATCTTCAAACTCTAAAAAAGAAAAAAAAGGCCCTTTCAAACTCTAGTTACGAATATATTACTCCCCGGTGTACACAAATCAGACAGTGGGTCTCA